TGCATGGTTACACCTAGATGTCTATTACTCTGATCTCCTGATAACATGCAAGGAATACTGGAGGGATGTAAGCTTTTGTTTTAGCTGGGTGTTGTAAAATGCAACTGAAAGCTTTGATCCTTATCACACTGTTATCAAGTAAATGACCCCAACTTGTGAAACCAGTCACATACACAGAAAGTTATATACAATATTGCAGTCTGGAATATCAATTTCTTACAGAATGACCCACAAAAATTTTGCAAGGTTTGAAGACAACGACCTGGTCAGATTTTACCACTTTTTCTAAGGGCCACAACTTATCCCCTTTCCAGACCTCCCGAACACCACACCATTTACCACATTCGACCATTTTCGCTTTCTACAAATCAGGAGCTTCCTATCCCTACAGTCCAACCACCAAGCAGCCACCACACCAACCACGACCTTTGAAAGGATGTGCGTGCACACCCCAATACAAAGGAGGCAGATATCCATCATCTGTGGCATTCTCCACAACTCCACCTCCCACGAGGCCCTTTCATACACTGCGGCCTGGGAAAGAGACATAGGACATCCGGAAGACCCCTCACACTGAAAGGACATATGGGAAGCCACAGATTCACTCACTATCTGTGTCAAACACAAGAAACAGGCCTACAAGACCATGTTCCGGTGTTAGATTACTCCTGTGACGAAGTGCCCTTCGCCACTTGGTCCTGGAGAGGCCTACTTGCCAGCCTCCTCCCCTGTGACTATGACTCTTTCATGTATGTGGCTTTAAAGCCCCTAGTATACCTTCAGACAGACTATTTATGTAGGCTGCTTTATTTATCTTATGTTTTAGTCACCCTGTACCTATTATAGGTGCAGGGTGTGTGTAATGTAATTGTTTATAGTGTGTGTGTGTGTACTGTGTAATGTATTGCCTGCTCTCTTGTATTGCTGAGGTTTGCTACCAACTAGGTGGGTTTGGCTATGGAGCTTGTCTAGTGCCCTCTGTTGGTAGCAACAGCAATATGCACTACCTGAATTGCAAGACTGGTTCATTTGCACATTCGGGTAGATTTGCATATTGCTAATTCTGCAGGCAGGTGAGATATGTACTGTTAAATATTGTCTCCCCCCACCCCTTTAAAAATGTGCCATTGTGTTGTGATAAGTCACTGTGTGTTTCTTGATATGGTTTGACTGTTTGTGATTTTATTGAGGTTTCACAACAATGTTATTGTGGTGACCCTATTGGCTGGTCCCAAGGGAAATAAAAGTTTTGACAGTTCTTCTTGATCCCTCTAAACGTAGCCTTGTCTCGTTATTGGAGGGAGCTGTTATAATCACACTGGGGATTGCTATGCTCTGCATGCTCCCCTGAGCTTGAATCACTTAGCTCTTTTAAGAGCTTGTTCCTGACACGCTCTCCTTGGAGGAGGGGTCTTCACCACACAGTCCTGGATGCTGGAGGTTTGTACAGGGTGGAAGGAAGAGTTCTTTCCCACACAGTCCTGGAGGACAGAAGCTGATCCAGGGTGGAAGGAAGACGGCGAGACTCCAGTCAAGATACGGCGGTTGCGGAGTCTGCGGTGGTTGTGGTGTCTGCTGCAGTGCTTGGAGTCCTCAGGAAGTTATAGGAGCATCCGTCAACGGAGGGTACTCAGTCGGAGTACAGGGAGCTCCGTTACAACTCCCCTGAGACTGAAACAAATGCGTTTCTCCACCTCAGACCGATGCTGGAGAGGATGTGGGGAACAGGGTACATCAGGGTGGGAATGCACTCAAATCACCCAACTATGGAGGGAGATAGCCCAAACAATAAACGGGGCGCTCCACAGCGACATCCCGCTAGACCCCTTGATCTGGCTCCTCTCAAAACCACACGAATCCCTAACTACGGCCCAAAACAAACTCACAGCCCAGGTGGCACTAGCCACACGTAGAACCATAGCCAGACACTGGGGCAGCAACGCTACTCGAAGTACACCAAAGAACAGAAGAGGCCGTAGAAATGGACAGGCCCTGATCCACGACACGACTAACTCTTTCCACAAGATATGGGACCCATGGATAATGAGAGCGGCCATTATGCTATAACCTCTTTAACACATATCCCTCACTACCCAAAAAGCCCCCTTCCCCCACATTCCAACCTGGCCCCCCCCCCTCCCACCCGCCCTTTTGTTTTTCCTCTCCTCTTCTCTCTCTCTTCTTCCCACCTCGACCCCACTCTCACCCCCCTTCTTCCCCTGCACCTCGCCCCACAGAATCACACAGGCACCACAAGACAACGAATAGACGAGACGCGCCACCGACAATAAAATGGCATAACCCCCGGAAACATACAGCACACAACAGATAAAGTAAAGACGGAACCTGGACACCCACTTCCTGCCCAGACAAGCTACAAGCAACCCCAAAACAGAGGGGCCCAATTACAATGGACACCGGCAAGGAAGGAGCTCGCACCACACCCCCACAGCTAGGACCGGAACCCCACATAAAACACCCACCACGACTAGTTCCACACCCCCACACCCCAGTGCAACCCTAACAACACACAGGACCGACCCACGGAACCAAACCCCGATCACCCATTCCCACCCCAATGACAACAGACATCAGCGACGGTAAGACGAAGCAACCTGACGCTGTACACAACCACAAAACACACAATAATCCCACCTAACACCCTGACTTCCGCATCCAACAAGAACAATTAAGACGCAACACAAAATCGCCAAGACGGATATGGTATGTAACCGAAGATTACCAGACCCAAAACTTCCTGGCATCAACACCAGACAGGGTATCCCACCCCCCTCCCACTCCTATTCTGTACCCTCCCCCAACCTTTAGACCTAGAACAGCAACTAATGAAATGGACAGACTAATATTTTGTTAACAATAGATCGCTACTGTAAATAGAGAAGAAATGGTATTAGAATGATCTATATGAAACAAATAGCATAACTATGGCCTACGAACTCTGTAACACTAACCCCACTCCCAAGTTTTCTTTTGTATCCAATTCCCGGTGAAAATTTAAAATTTCAAAAATAAAGAATTTAAAAAATAAAAATATATAAATGTACGTACATTTATCTTTTTATTTCTATTTAATGCATGTTTATAATGTTTTTAACTTTATAAAGTTTAATGAGAAAACAATAAAGTCAACTGACATTACCTTTACTGGTGATTAATGAGATCCTTGAGGTTGATGCTGCAAGACTAAATATTTGATATCTGGTTCGATTTTCGTAAGGAACAAACAAAGGTCCCCTCTTTCGGGGATATTCAGAGGACTTCTCTGTTTGTGCATAATATGATTTCTCATCTGATCTCATCTCTCCCTCCACAATTCCCCTGCCCACCTTTTTTCCCCTCTTTTTTTGTTAATTTTTTTTAACCTTCCTCATAGCAATGCCCAGTAGGAAGGCTGAGCTAGGTATCCCACTTACTATTACTTACTATAGCCCACTATAACAGACAGGCACACATACATACATACACACACACACGACACACATACATACAGACAGGCACACACACGACACAGACATACAAACAGACAGGCACACATACATACACACACAGACATGCATACAGACACACACATAAGACATACATACAAAGACACAAAAGACACACAAACAAGACACACACACACACACAACACATAGAAGACAGAGTCACTTTATAATAAGAGAAGGTGGTGTACATTATAAGATATAAGATTATAAGATATACCCTTACATTTATATTGTCAGAACTCTTCCAACTTAAATATACAAGTGCATATCAATAACTGTGCATACATAAATACGTTCTAAGGCATGTCAAAGGCTTGAACAAATTATTATCCTCATTATTCCAAATGATACCAAATTAGAACGATGTTTATCAGACAGCTCACTAATTTTGAATCCTTAAAAAGGATAATCCAAGACAGGGGTGTCAAATTAGGGAGCTATTTACTAAACATCTATATGAAAGCTCAAAAGTAACAACAAAGCTTTCATTCATAATTTTCACTTTTCCGCTGTTTAGTAGAATTTGGTACCAATAAATGAGATTGACAAAAATAAAGGATACAAAATAAGGGACCTATCTACTAAACAACTGAAACAGTTACATTAAGAAAATAACTTATTTTTTCGACTCAATTGTCACCTTTCAGCTGTTTAGTTGATAGATCCTTAATGTGCTATCCTTATGTGAGATTAACATAACTAAAGGTACCAAATTAGGGACCTCCTGTGTGTCCATCTCACCTAAATACTTGTATGTCAGTTCACCTATTCTAGGAGACGGGGCATGGATAATGGGAATGGCAGCAGTCAGTCAGTGCAGGGATGATGGGAATGGTAGTATTCAGTCAGTGCAGGGATAATGGGAATGTCAGCACTCAGTCAGTGCGGGGATAATGGGAATGGTAATATTCAGTCAGTGCAGGGATAATGAGAATGGCATGTATAATATTGCATATTCTATGTGTCTATTGATTATATATATGGATGTGTGGATTGACATAAGTAACAGATGGTATCAATAAGTCACAAGGCTTTCTTTGTCCGAGAGCTCTGGAATGTGGATTTGGGGGTCTTGTCCTTATATGGCTAGAGTTAAACGCTGACGTTAGTATGAGCACATCTATATAGTAACAGAGGGACACAAGGGCACTCTCTCTTGGCTTGTGGCTCTGGGCTCTCTCTGGCTCTCTCTCTCTCGATGTAAAGATATAAGGATTTTATTAATGACACGGAGGCTCCTATTATGCTATCTCTTTCTTACTTTATTCCT